ATACAGGGTTCCATTAAAATAATAGGGTTTCATAGTTTGAAGTCAGTTCAAGATAATATACCTACAGCTTGTTATGCGGTGGCCTACGTATCTGGTTGCTGCCAGTTACAGAATTACCTTTCACTTATATAGAATTTTTTTTTAAATATATCTATATTAATTTAATAAGCCCTCAAAGAGTTATACAATTTGTATAGGAAACTTTAACTCTAATGCAAAAAAATTACCCAGCTAACCATTTTCGGTTAAAAACCATTACAATAATAAATTAAGGTACTTTTTAATTTGTATTAATTGTTTACATGGTAGCGGATATTCTGTGAAGTATTTTTAATATCATAGAAAATATTCCATAATTATAAGTACATTAACAACACTTGTTATTATGTTTACATTTATTACATAATTAAGCTATTAATAAAAGGTTTATCCTACAAATTAGCATTACATAAAAATCAATGTATTTCTTTTTAATAAGCACTAATATATTGATATTTACAAATATTGTTTTTTAAGGTAATTGTAAAATATAGTTTCCAAGGAATTTTTCCAAACCAGATTCTTTTTATTTTCACGAGCTCTATTTGAATCTTGATACCTTGACGAACTGTTTAGATTCTGCAAACACTAGTTTAATAATTTCGAAAACACATATATAGGGTGATTCACTCATAATGTCATTAATTTTAAAAGCAGATAGAGAAAAATTAGTATAATACGATGGCGTGATTAAAAAAAAAATAAATGCATATTTAAGCTGAAAAAAAATATTTTCAAATCATTATTTAACCCCCTTTTCAGGCTGTTACTGACCGACTGACGTCAGCCGGTTATTCACAGTTTACGCACGGCTACGATATGAACAAGGGCGTCTTGTTCATATGATGCATTAAGATGCAACGTTGCCTTATTTATATATTTTCGCTCATATAAAGACAATAAAATAAATTATTATTAACATTTATTTTTATTAACATCATAGTGATAATTTTTTAATTTGCTATAAGCCTTCTACTGAAAATTGGAAGTAACGCGGCCCATTCAGATGTTCTAACTCCTGCCCATACATTGACACCGAATCTCCTCTGAAAGCTAAACCGACGAGTAGTGTGCCGGTTTTCATCTGACCAAATGCGACTATTATGGCTGCAAAGAAATTAGCTCTGTTTCACTTAAAAAAAACTTAATAATAATAATAATTTAAATTTCGTTTCATAACCTTTTCAATTTCATTGCAGAAATAATGACATAAAAAACCAACACTCACTAGATAAATTATAAAGAGAGGGTGAAATGTATGTAGTATTTAAATATTGACTGTAAGTAATAGAAGATAAAAAACAATCGGACGGAGACAAATAAACAACTCGGTACGTGTTTCCGGCCTAGGCTAACCTGTGTCAAGGTCACCAACCTTCTAATTTACACGTGCACTATAGTCTAGCAGCCAGACCGGGTTTCGTTGCCAATCAGAGTGCCACGGATGCAAACAACTATTTCTAAAGAATTTTGACCTCCTGAATCCAAAAAACTTGGTCGTAAAGCCTGGTCAGTTTAATTGTTATCAACAAATTAAATGTTTAAATGGCTGTAAAAAGTTTATGTTTATAGCTAGTACACGGAACCCTATCTGGCTCTTAGACTAACACGAACCGTAGAAGGATCGTATTCCATGCAAAGTAGAGCAAAAGGTTGTCTGTCTTTCATCAAAGGAAAATCGTGTCATCAAATTGAATGCAATGAATAGGGATGCTTGTTTTCGAATGTACGGTTATTACAATTTATGATTTTTAATATTATTAACGTTTTCACGTTTTATAATTTATTATGTTAAATAATACAGTTTTAGTATTTCAATTTATTATTCAATATGCAGTTCCGTATAACCAAAGTTTACATAATAAATATAAACTATAGTGTAGATCTAAACTTTGATGTAACCAAGGTAGGTACTTATTGTTTTTGAGAAAGCAATACTTATGTTTTTTACCTGTTTAAAATGCCAGCACGAGTAAAACAGCATTCATCCGTCCAGAGCACTTTGTTAATAAAGTTAGGTTCTGCTACATTTCGATTTAGGAACCAATTTCAAAATTCAAGACAATTGGGGAAATCAGCTGCTTCTAAAGCTTGAACATTTTGAAAATGTGTGATGTTAACTCCTTTGCGGGAAAAATGCGGGAGATGTGAAGGGTGGTAGATTTGAATAAACGCTTTAAATTGTTAATGGTTTTGTAACTGTGTGTAGTGTATTTTGTATATTTGAGTATTTAGTGTGCCGACTTTTTTATTTGATAAAATACGGTGTGCCTACAAACCTCTGCTTTATTTATTTTCATTTAACGAAAGTTGACTTCGAGAAGTCAGGCTTATTAAAACATTTTGCACTAAGTTAATACAATTATTAAAATTATTTATAATAAAATGCAGCATGATCCTTTATTTACTTGCATTTTATTGGTTTCGTACATATGTATCCGTATACTAAAGCGGATTAATTAAATGTGAACCACAGATTATGATGTGAACTTGGCAACGCTGTTCGCTTCAGCTGACGATTTGTTCGTGACATTACGTTACAAAATTTTCCGAGCATCCGGGCATCTGGCAGGGCCACCCTCTTAGCGGGAGTTATGGGTTGATTTCCTTTATTTTTAAAAGTCGAGCAAAAAATTTTTTTTCCGATTTTCTGTCTTTATTAAGCCTTCCGAATACATGATTAAAATTAATTACATTATGACTGAATCACCCTGTATAAATACATTCTACCAAATTAAATATGGCACCGTTAAAAATAATATTTAGTTAATTCTCGTGTTGATAAATGAAACGTAAAAAAAATATTTTAAAAACAAGCTTTTTTTAAAATGCACTAAAAAAAACAAGGAGTTCGTAAAAGCCATAATGTTATGTAAACCCCAGACCCACAAAAGGGTTAAAGTTAAGAAGTGTCATTAGCAAAAGGAAGATAAATAGACATACAGGGTGATCCATTAACGGTATCGAGCGGTTGTATATAGGGAACTACCACGATTATGGGGTAAAAAATCAATCAACAAATACGACCAAAAGAAATTGATTGAAAATATTTTCAAGTTTGTAACTTCACCGCTAGGGGACGCAACTGCTATAGTGTTACAGAAAATTGTCGGTTTTTCGAAATTTCGCTTATATAACCTAAGTTGCAAATACATTTTTTAAATACACTGTTAAACCCTTCACAAGTTTTGTATGAACTTTTTTTTTGTTATTACGATAGCAACGTCGGTATGAAGGACGATATCTTAAAATTTTTAAATTGTCATAACTTCTACATGCCTGAATCGATTTCAATAAACGATGGCTCATTTTAAAGAACTATTAATAAAATTTATATTTATGATATAGGAATAAAAAATTATTTTTCTGCACAACGGTAGACGGCGCTAATGAGAAAAGTTTTCTAATTGTCTCCGTTTACTAAAAAAAATTAAATGCAACGATATAGGTTTTTCTTCATGGCTTGATAGATCATTCATTATGGAAAACAAATACACAAACCGGAGGTCGATATCTTTTTTCGTTTTCAAGTTATTGCTAAAATAGTGAAGTTGTGCTAGAACATCCTTTTATTTAGTTCTCTAAAGAGATCATCGACATAATCCAAGCCAATCCAAATTAAATTGTAAAACTATACCAATCTTGTCCTTAAAAAGAATTATTGCTCTATTGTGAAATTTTTTTGATAACTGCAATGTTTATTTTTTTTATTAATTCCAAATATCTGAGTAGTTATAAAGAATATTGTTTCCTTTCCTTTTTCACTATCAGCGATAGTTTCATTGTCACATAGATTTGTTTCTTCCTTAATATCTTGGTGAAACCTTTCTGCTCAAACTCAATCAAATTCTTTACTTTGGGGTTCAAAACCAAACAAATTTTTATAAGCATCTTTCGTATGTTGCTTGATCTATTTTCTATTGGAAAGATTAAGAAGAGCTGATGGGGTCAAACGGACACTACATTCGGATTCAGCGACCCTAAAAACGTGTAGCAATTGATTTTCTACATTTGACCTTGAACTGACCTCAACCTGAATCTGATCGAGTCAAAAGGACACCGGATTCGGAGTCAGTGACCGCAAAAACGTATAGGTATGTAGGTTTAATTTGTTGGCAATTGATTCTCTACATTTGACTTTGGACTGACCTTAATCCAGAGCTAATTGAGTCAAGCGGACACCGAATTCGGATTCAGCGGCCCTAAAAACGTATAGATATGTAGATTTACATTCTTAGCAATTGATTCTTTACATTTGACCTTGAACTGACCTTAATCCAGATCTGATGGAGTCACATGGACACCAGATTCGGATTCGGCGACTCCAAAAGCGTATGGGTATGTAGGTTTAGATTGTCGGCAATTAATATTCTACATTTGACCTTGAACTCACCTTAACCCAGAGCTAATCGTGTCAAATGGACATCGGATTCGGATTCAGCGACCCCGATAAAAATATGGATATCATGGTCTTGTTTCACTTTTTTTTGTGGACCTGTATAATCGATTGTGAATGTTACAAATTTATGGATTATGGATTTAAGGTTTATAAAAAAAAATTAATTAGAAAAATCCTATAATTCGTTAACCCTTTCCTTTTCTTTACAACTACTTCTGAGAACCCTGTAGTGCTCTGACAAAGCACATTATTAAGCAACATAGCTCTCCATGTAACGCAAGAATCATGTAATAGCGATGACGAAATTTTAGTAATTATTGCAGGAAATTAGAGGTATTCCTATTAAGACTATTCTACTGGATGTAATCGAAACTGGTTGTATGAGTTGTTTACCAATATTACAAATAAATGCGTGAATGATAAACGTCCATTAAAATAACACGACAGACATAAAATAGTGCAGGCGCTGTCCCGATAAAACTGTAATGTATATTTAATTACCTTTCAATGTTTGGTATTCAGTTATTATATGATGTAAGACTATTTACATATAGACATTTACCTGTGGTGTATATACGTTAAGATACAAACAGTCCTCATCTCCTTCTATCACTTTCGATCTTCTGTAAACATCTCTTTGTGGGCAAACTGCATGTATTTTAGTGGCATTGAATATACCATTCCAAGGTTTAACCGCTTCAGGTGGCTGAAAAGGGACGATTGAAAATATAACATAAGTCATACGGCATCTCAATACAAGATCATAAAAGATAGGTTTAACTGAATTGAAATTGTGGAATAGGTATAAAGAACATGGACAAAACAAGTGTTATGGTCTGCTTATTTAATCACCATTATTCTTACTGCTGTATTTTATTATGTATAAAATTGTTTGTGTGGATAAATTATTATTATTATTTAAGTGATTGATGAGTAAAATGACTTAACAATAATTGCAATATCCAGAATATATTTGTTTTGTAAATCTACATGTTATGTGCATTTGGAAACTTTCTATTTTAATTTAAAAACTATACTTATTTTTAATTATCTCTTAATTCGTGATTTATGTTACGAATTCTTAAAAGTTTCATAGGGGCATATAAAGACAAAAACAAAAAAAAAACAGAAATTTAAAACTTCAAATATAGTAAGCAAATAAAATAACGGATTTTTTAGTAAGGAGGATTTTTACAAAGGGTCAATAACACAGCGCTATAAAAATCAGAATTCCTGGGTCAATTCGTATTTTGACCCTAACATCAAGGCACTTCTCTAGAAAGCGGATTTCAGAATTTCAAATTAACTTCAATATTCAGTGATTCGGAAAATATTTTTAAAAATTCTTAAATCGTAAGAATATTTTTCTAAATTTATACCTTTTTATAAGTACAATAGTTATTCTTTCATGGTATATACAGGGTGTTCCACTAAAAGGGATTCTTCTGTAACTCTGTAACTGTTACATTTATTAAAAAAATGGTTTTAACAAAAGAAAATATTTTTAGCTTTACAGGGTGTCCCATTTCGCGTGGGCACTACATAACTTTGTTATTTTAAGTGGATTACCCTGTATATTATTGCATTTTTGAATTATTTGGTTAATATTAGAACGAGTTTATTATATGTACATAGTGTTTAAAATTTATTGTTTTCGAGATGAGTTGTTTTTGAAAAAAAATCACGATTTCAACTCTCTAAATGAGGCTAGATAGCGTATAAACCGTAAGAGTTAGAACCTGAAGTTTTCACAGTTCGTTTTAGCATAAATTACTCTATCTTGTCATCTGTGAGCAAAACGTGTATGTTATTCAGACTCGGAAATACTGAGACCTACATATTAAATAATCTTACGAGTTAAAAAACTTTTTATATTTTTTATATTTTCAAATGAAATTTTCATCGGTGAATGCAAAATTGAATGCCCTTTCGACTGATATAAGGTTGTACATACATATACATTTTGAATTTGATATTCAAACGACCTTGAAGTCAAGGTGAAGGTCATTTCAAGGTCATATCAAGATAGCCCCTTTTCATCCTACAACTCTTGTACGAAACATTTAAAAAAATAATGTGAACCCAACAAGGTGATCCGCTGTCTCAAGAGTTTTGTTTTTATGGCCTTTTTATGGCCAAAATATTAAATTAAATCGAAGAAATAAGAACAAAAATTTTTTTTCGGTTTTAAATCGAAATCCGCGGTAAAACATTGGTGTTTCCATTAAAAAAAATCAACTTCCCGTCTAAAAACACCACTTCCGATATAGATGGTCCCCTCAACGCCCAATTTTTGTCTGAAACTTTTTTCGAAATAATAGAGCCCAACCGAAATATTATTTTGTCTCAAGATAAATGCCCCACCCGGTATACATTATATGTAAAGAGAAAGAGAAAATAAAAAAACAAATAAAGGAACATGAATTGAATATTTTAAGGTTAGAGAAAGTATTTTATGAATGTATTTAATAATCACATAATTTAATAATTATGTTTAACTTGTACGAATTTATGCAAATTAACAGACGTAATAAAAAAATTGCATTGCAAAATTGAATATTAAATTAAGTATTCTGTGCTAATAATAATAAAAAAAAACATTTCTTATAAGACCCCATTACTACAAGAATTTCACATTTATTATTATTCTTTTATCATTATGTCAAAATTCAATAATTATTTTAAATATTCGCTCATAAAAAAATTCATGTTCACCTCAGGTATATTTATTTTTCATTAATTCAAAGTTTAGCAAATTGAAAATCGATCGTAATTATAAAATTTGTTTTTTATTAATTACATTATCTACATAAAATTACTATTTTTGAATCATGTACCTTGAAACGTAGGTTACCTATTGGAGGTTTGGCATAAGGTATTCCTAAAAATGCACTGAACCTTTTTCCACCTTTTGTAGTCATAAATTTTCCTCTCAAAATACCATCATTTATTTGAACTTGAGGACTGCAATCACTTAATATATCACCATTTATTTGTACCTGACGACTACACTCACTACCAAAACTAAATTGGTATAGATAATGAAGGAATAAACATAACAGAAACATGTCTTCAAATATCTTGTACTAGTACACTCAACTTGTAGTAAACAAATAGTATAATTTAGCAAATGCGGTAATATTAAGTAAATTACTATACAGATAACATGGAAAAGAGGGGAAGTGTTCCTCTAGGCTAGCGGTCGGCAACTGGCGGACCGCGGGCCAGATCCGGACCGCCAAAGGTAAAAAACTAGACCGCCAAAAATGTTTTGAAAGTATAATTACTCAAATTATTTAAAAAAATATTTTTCTATAGATAACAATACGTTTGAGTGCGACCCTTATCATTTTTAGTTTAGTTTAGTTTAGTTAGTAGATTAGTAAAAAACTGACTCAAGACCACAAATGTAATTTCTCCCATTGATTTTTTAATACATATATGCCTATCCATTGTAGGTATTTCACATTATTTTGTGAGTGCAAATTAAAAAAAATATTAGTAAGGAATACGAGTTTTTTCCTGGACCTCATTAAAAATTTTCAAAACTATCCGGACTCCACATAAAATTACTTGCTATACATGAGTTAATAATTAACATTTAAAAACAGTCATTCCGATTGTTCTCAAATTTTCTGAAATGCCTATATTCTATTTGTCTATTTTCTATTATATGATAGAAGCAACAATTTTCGATTTAGTTTTACGAAGAAATATTAATTAATTAAAAGCATTTTTTCTTTTTGCTTATTTCAAATTTTCTCTTTCAAAGTTGATGTTTCGAATCTCAAATATTAAGATTTAATAATACATAACCTGTTGAAAGTTCTTAAATTATTTTCAAAAGTAAGATAAGTGTGCTATAACCTACTTTCATTATGACGAAATAGATTTAAATAAAACCATTCAAAAATGTATCAAATTAAGACGCATTAAAATAAATTAATTAAAGAGAAGGAATTTATTTTTAAAATATCAGAACCACATACAGAGTGTACTATATAAAATTCCCCGGTCGATTATCTTGAATATTAAGGGATATGTATGTTCTGAAAAAAAAGAAAACTTCTGCAAAATAAACATTTCTAGACAACTTTTGTAATTCTGCAATAGTATTAAAAAAATCACTGATTTGTTCTTGAAGAGTATTTATTTAGAGCAAAAAAATATCTAGTACAACTTCTGCAAAATTCATGCTTCAGAACTTTATTTTCTTCTGGATGAAATAGTCAACTAATTTATAATTTGGTTCATCCAAGAATCGCTCTTCGTGGCAACCAAAATAAACCTATTATTTTTCATGTTTAATAAATGTGTATTAAGATACATTTTTGAAGAATTTTTTAATTCACAGATCGTCACTTTGGCGGTTTAATTAAGTTTGGGACAATTTCAACAATCATCAGGAATTATTTTAAAATAGGCATTTCGCAATACAAAAAATTGTGATAGAAAACGCAGGTTTTTTATTGAAAATTGTAAATTTTTTATTGATTCATAAAATATACAGTACCTATAGGGTTATGTATGGATTAGCATATCGGGAAAATGGCTTCCACGGCTTTATTCCGTGACCATTTCGCATAAATTCGGCTAAATTTCGTTGAAACAGTACTCGGTTTCCTCCTTCAAGGCGTGGGTGGTCGTGGACTTGTGTTGGCATAAACCTTAGACTTCAAATAAACCCTAAGAAAAAAGTCCGAAGGCGTTAAATCGCATGATCTCGGCAGTCAATTCTGATCATGAACACGGGAAATTACACAACCAGGAAATGTCTCATAGAGTAATTGAATTGCTTCTCGGGCTATATGGCATGTGGCACCGTCATGTTGAAAACAGATGTTGTCTACATCCATATTTTGCAATTTAGGCACAAAAAACTGGATTATCATGTCGCGATAACGAGCACCGTTTACTGTTATTGCCTGGCCACCCGCATTTTCGAAGATGATGTATCCAACCCAAAATCCGCACCAAACAGTGACACGTTGTGCAACAATCGCTCGTGGATTTTCTGAACCCTAAATGCGACAATTTTGTCGATTAACAAGCCATTAAGATGAAAATGAGCCTCATCGCTGATGACGATTTGATTCGAAAAATCAACATCCACTTGTCCCATAATCAATTCAATGAACGCTCATTAGTTCAAGCATTCATTGACGGCCTAATGTTAAATGCAGAAATTATTACGTGGACAAAAAAAAATATGACCGTATAGGAAATTAAATTTCAAATTAAGTTTCATGTTCTTTAAACTAGATCCAAAATGGCGAACTTGGTCAAAAAAATTCACAAAATTGCAAAAAACTGTTTTTACTTAAATAACTAAAAAACTATGCTCCGATCGAAAAATTTTAAATGAGAACTAAATATTAATTATTTTTCAATATACAGGGTGATTCAGTCATAATGTCATTAATTTTAAGAGCAGGTAGAGAAAAATGAGTATAATACGATGGCGTGATTAAAAAAAAATTAAATGTAAATATATTAAAGCTGAAAAAAATATTTTCAAATCATTATATAACCCCCTTTTCAGGCTGTTACTGACCGGCTGACGTCAGCCGGCTACGATATGAACATAGCGTCCTAGATGCAATGTTGCCATATTTATATATATTCGCTCATATAAAGACAATAAATAAACGGTTTGCTCACGTCAGCCAAAAATAAGTTAAAATGCTATAAATTATTTTTTATAATTATGCAATCAACATATTAAATTGTTGCCCAGCAAGAACCTCGATAAGGTCTGAGCATGACTTGCCAAAAATCATTTTTTATTAACATCATAGTGATAATTTTTTAATTTGTTGTAAGCCCTCTACTAAAAATTGAAAGTAACGCGGCCCATTCAGATGTTCAGGTAGAAAATGCGGCCAAATTAAACGATCGCCATATACTCCTGCCCATACATTGACACCGAATCTCCTCTGAAAGCTAAACCGACGAGTAGTGTGCGGGTTTTCATCTGACCAAATGTGACTATTATAGCTGCAAAGAAATTAGCTCTGTTTCACTTTAAATAAAATTTAATATTGAAGTTACAAAACCGCAAGAGTTCAAATAATTTAAATTTTATTTCATAACCATTTCAATTTGATTACAGAAATAATGACATAAAAAACCAACACTCACTAGATAAATTATAAAGAGAGGGTGAAATGTATGTAGTATTTAAATATTGACTGTAAGTAATAGAAGATAAAAATACAATCGGACGGAGACAAATTTAACAACTCGGTACGTGTTTCCGACTTAGGCTAACCTGTGTCGAGGTCAATAACCTTCTAATTTGCAGGTGCACTTTAGTCTAGGAGCCAGACAGGGTTCCGTTGCCAACCAGAGTGCCACGGCTGTAAACAACTTATTCTAAAGTATTTTGACCTCCTGAATCCAAAAAATTTGGTCGCAAAGTCTGAAAGTGGTCAGTTTAATTGTTATCAACAAATTAAATGTTTAAATGGCTGTAAAAAGTTTATTTTTATAGCTAGTACACGGAACCTGATCTGGCCCTAGACTAATACGAACTGTAGTAGGATCGTATTCCATGCAAAGTAGAGCAGAGTTGTCGGTCTTTTATCAAAGGAAAATAGTGTCATCAAATTGAATGTAATGAATAAGGATGATTGTTTTCGAATGTACGGTTATTACAATTTATCATTTTTCATAATATTAACATTTTAACGTTTTATAATTTATTATGTTAAATAATACACAGTTTTAGTATTTCAATTTATTATTCAATATGCAAGTGCGTATAACCAAAGTTTACATAATAAATGTAAACTTTAGTGTAAATCTAAACTTTGGTGTAATCTAGGTAGGCACTTTTGAGAAAGCAATAGTTATGTTTTTTACCTGTTTAAAATGCCAGCACGAGTAAAACAGCATTCATCCGTCCAGAGCACTTTGTTAATAAAGTTCTGCTGCACTTAGGAACCAATTGCAAAATTCAAGACGATTGGGGAAATCAGCTGCTTCTAAAGCTTGAACTTATTGAAAATGTGTTATGTTAATTCCTTTTTTGAATAAAAAGGCTCTCTCGGAAATTGGTTAGATCTTCTCAGCCAATCACCCTTCAGGAAAAGTTTTTTGTTTACCTATTTTCTTCGTGTGAGTGTGTGTCACCATGCTATTAAAAAAATTTGACGATTTTATTAATTTTAAGAAACAAAAAATGACTGAAAAAATTGCCCTTTTTAAGGTTAATACTGAGTCTTATATTTTCAAGAAAAAAATAATAGGATATGTTTCTATGATTTTTTGTATTAGTAATAAAGTGAAGCGCGCTCATTCTGGAAACTAATGACGTGCATTCTAAATGGCTCCCGCTTGCAAAATCTTTGATAAATTTGACTTCTGGACCACGTACAAAAATCATTTTGTACTTAACCTGGGGTAACTTGAATATTATAATCATATTCGCTTTAGAAGCAAAATAGTCCCGGAAATATTTCATTTTTATTTAATTTACATTTTTTTTTACTTTTATGGTCATTAATAATTATTAGTAGTACAGTATTTTTCGTGTAATACTTTAATTTTTTTCTAATTACTAATTAATACTACAAATACTAACACTAAAAATCAGTGAAACATATTCTATTTTTTTTTCTTGAAAATATAAGTATTCAACATTAACCTCCGTCAAGCACATCGCTGTAAAACGTTAATTGCGTCTTCTAGATTTTTTAAATAAAAATTTACCTTGGCTCTAGAGGGCATAGAAATTTTTTTTTTAATTCGTGAAAAAATGTCAGCAATTTCTTTCTATAAAGTGTTTGTCATAAAGAACAATTGAAACAGTTATTTAAAAAGAAGATACACATGTCTGCCAGCAGTATGTAACGTTTGTGCGGTCGTTATGGATCTTATTTGGCAAGCGGCAGAATTTTTTTTAGTTTTTACTTATTTTATACTGTTTTACAGCAGTTTTCGAGTTTTATGAGAAATTCTCCCACGCTGGATTTCAAGTTACCGTCATACTGCTAGTCTGCGGTGTCTGCCACTATTTGTAAATAAAAGTGCATGTTATAACAAGAAAATCGCACGTGAGTAGATTCGGTTAAGGTCCACTTTTTTTCCGGTTTTCTTCAACCCCACCCCCCACCGAAACCGCCATAAAGTTTTGTC